CAAACGGAAAATATCTTACTTCTGTATCGATTAATCACTCACTTAATTAACTTCGATGGCGGTGTGATATGTGAGCTGAGTTCAGTGATTGATGGCTTTCCTGATGATATTATACCTACACTGGACTAATATAGGTTTACCTTACCAAAACAGTGAATGCCAGATGTGGATATGTAATAGATTGATCAAATGTTTTTATATTCCAAAGTTGAAAAGACCTCCTGCTACTTGATGATTCCTTAGTAAATTTAATTTAATTGCCGAATTTTAAAACATACTTTTTTGCAGATAAGAAAAGAATGGGGCCGATTTTGATGCGTCTTTCTATAAACCTATTCCAACTGCAACAAAATCAGTTATTTTGATTACAAAACTAAAGTACTGAAGTGATTTTATAAGACCAATAAATACCCTTTTAGATGAAAAAAGAATTTCCAAAAATGGTTTACAATTGACGGAGTTATGAGGTAAGAAATATAAAAAAAAAATACAACCGAATTGAGCATCTCCTTCTTTATGAAGTCGGTTAAATAAAATTTCCATTTGACATTACAGCGAAGTTTTCTTTCTAAGAACCAGTACTAATTAAATTTCTAATAGATTTATGCCAAACTTATTATAAATTTAACTTATGGATAGTCCATAAAACGGTAGCTTCGTGAAATTATCAATTAAAATAATAGTTTAGAGTAATTGCGCCTCAGAATCGACCCCAGTGTAAATGAACGTGAAATTATTTAGTTTAGACTTAATACCTAAAGGTGTCTGCTTTCCTAGTACTATCGGTTCTAATTAATACCACAGCCTCGGTACGGCTCATTTGTAATTTAAGCCCGAAAACTTATATTATATATATATATATATATATATATATATATATATATATATATATATATAACTTCTTGGAGTATATCACTAGAAATGCTTAACTAAAAACTAACTAAGTTCTAAACAAATTTGGGAAATTCTTGTCTTTTTTTATCTGAAAGGATAGATTGGTCTCATAGAAATTTTATCAAAATCGATTCAGTTTAATTGTTAAATAAAAATAACTAATTTTATCACAATTGAAGTCAGTTTTTTTCTGGGACACAATTTTTATTTATTCACATTTTTATATCATCATCATCATCATCAGCTTTTAACTGTCCACTGCTTTACATAAGCCTACCCTTTGGGGGAGTCTGCCAGTAGTCGCCACGCTTGGCAGGCGGATTGGCAACCGCAGTTAGGCTTTGGAGATGTTCTAAGAGAATCCGTCGCTCTTCCTTAGTCGTCTCTTACGATACCCACGGGAAAAGAAGGGGTGGCCTATTCTATGCTGGGACCACACGGCTTTTTATATATCAGTTAATAAAAATAACATGTCAGATGACAACAGTTGGCTGACTTTTATTGGACACTCGACTTCCAATCCCATGCATAAAATTCAATCTGGTGCAACAAATGCGAAATATTTAAATATTACAGTTTCATCGCATAAAAAAATACAAAATGTACGTTGAAATTATAATATTATATTATTTTATAAATACATAAAGTACTGGTTAGTATATAAATGTGTCAAAGCTTTTCAATTTATTTTAAACATGGCCGATATTCGTTTGGTTCGTAAACAAAAAAATCCAATTATAACAATATGAGCTCACAAGACGTCTGCGATCCCGCCAAATAACGCAATAACGGGTTTGATGTACGTTCGAAATTCAATTTGGCTTATTGTGTGGTGATTTAATATTGTTTTGTGATAACTTATTCGAATACAAATTGAAATAATAAATTTAAATAGACTCGTATTTAAAACCTATACCATGTCCCACTTACATCTCTACATGTCTCTCTTGCCTGTTTTTATATGCGATTATCTGATCCAGACAGGTATATTTATCGACGTATGTACATTTATTGACGTACTTTATTGTGATAAACATAATAAAGATTTATTTATAGTTTGAGACGCTGATCATACCATTATACGAATGGTGTATTATGCACTTGGTCAATCGATTATTGAATATTGTATAACCTCATGGGGAGGAGCAGCTAAATCTCACCTCATCGAACTGGAGAGAGCACAGCGAGCTATACTGAAGATTGGCTTCGCTCTTCCTTATCGCTACCCAACTACAGAGCTCTATAACAAATGGGACGTACTCACAGTGAGACAAATATTTATCCTCAATACAGTACTCAAAAAACACTCACAACTAGAATACGATCCTAATCTAAATAGCGTCAAGCGCAGAAAAGGTTCTGTCTGCCGTTCTCCTGCCCTCCGCACTAGTCTCTCTCAAAACTTCTTCTGTTTCCTTGGACCCTACATTTACAATAAACTGAATTGCTTATTGAATGTATATGCCTTGCATAGATCAAGTTGCTAAAGATCAATTATCAAATATCTAAAATCCCTCAATTATCAGCAAACTGAAGGTCTTTTGTCTCCATCAATTTAAGATCTCCTTAAATAAGTACCAATGGCTAATGTTATTTATATGCTGTACGTGATACAATTAAATTATATATCTATCTCTACTCTATTTGGTTGAACACACACACACACACACACACACACACACACACACACACACACACACACACACACACACACACACACACACACACACACACACGCACACGCACACACACGCGCACACACACACACACACGCGCGCGCGCGCGCATACATAGTCTGTATTTTGTTTTTTTTGTTAACTTTGCCTAAGTTATATACTAGAAATAAGTTTTAATGTTAAGTTTATTCTTGCACTCTATATCTTATTATTGTTATCTGTGTATTATAACACTAATTGGTTGCCTTGTATTTGTGTAGTCCATGGAGATGGGGCACTGGTGACTTGTAGCACAGGTTCTTCTAAACCTACCGCAAGCACCAGTCTCTCACAAAACTGGTCTTCATTTCAAATTGTACCTCATGTTGTTACTTTATTCCACGTTTTGTGAAGAGAAAATAAACCATTCATTCAGTTTGTTATTACATCTTTAATCAATTGTTTTATTGATATCACTCCTATTCTTTTTATGTGTGATTTATGTAATAATTAGACCTTTCGTTTGACATAAACACACACACACATACACAAAACGCGCACGCACGCACGCACGCATGCACGCACGCACGCACGCTCACACACACATCTCTGATGCATTGCTACTACAACTTTGTTTTATTCGATATATCTAACTTCAGCTACTATAAGATCTTCGACCGTTTTATACAATACGAGTATGTTCGCCTAGTAGTCAATTTATATTTTTTTTCTATATTTTATATTAATAAAAAATAATTTTAGCCATTGTTTTAGAAAGTAGTTAAATTATATTATTGCGAAATTAAGGATTTTGCAAGCTGCCTCGCCAGTCTACTTAAATCCATTGTTCGCTCTAAAAACTTTATCACGGACTGTAAAGAATGTACAATGCAGACAAATTTCTAAAGAGATGGTAATGGAATTATGAACCCGTTTTCACTATGTTTACATTATATTCCATAATAGAGGGGCATTAGTGAGGGATGTCAGGTGGGGATGAAGTCGAGCCCATCGTGATGGATTCACCACGAATTAATAACGGTAGTTTCCAGAGGCGACCGCGTGAAGTTCGACCAGCATTATTTAGTTCAATACTAACAATCATGTCTCCACGTGCAGGGTAATAACAATATGCTAGCTCGAGGAAGTCTTCTAGGGGGGAAAGGGATTGTTAGCCATGGAGTTTGACAGCCCCATTACTAGCAATATGCCTTATTAGATCGACCTCCACGTGGTTCCCCCTGAAAACCATCGTGAACAATTCTTGTTGAATTCATCACGATGGGCTAACTGACCTGCTTCATCCTCATCTATCATCCGTCACTGGTGCCCCGCCGGTGTATACCGATAGCGCGGGTGGGGTTACCATTCCATTATCGTCCATTAAAAAAAAAATAAACACGGGGTCTTCTGAAGGGTCTTTGGAAAAATAATACAATTGTTTTTATTAAATTAATTTTAATTTAGTATAACATATATTACGTTACATACTTAACGCCCAATTGTCATGATATTTTACATACACATAAGGACTATTTTCTATCCAATCCAGTCAATAAATATATCCCAAATAAAGTGGTCGAAGTCATAGATTACATTTTAATATTGTACCTAAAAAAACCGTCTTCAATTGTGACAATACCAGTTATTTTAATTTAAAAACTAAAATACTAAACCAATTTTGATAAAATATCTACGAGACCAATCTGTAAGTATTTCCTTTCAGATAAAAAAAATTGTTTTTCAAATTGGTTTAGAAATGATTGAGTTATGAGGTAACAAACATAAAAAAACGGAAAAGGAAGGGGTGGCCTATTCTATTCCGGGACCTATACGGCAGTCACAATTTTTATTTCAATGTATATAATGTATTTATAATAAATTTACTATTATAATTTTATGGAAGAAACGATGAAGAGTATCTATCTATCTTATCACATATTTTGAAGTAAAAATTGGAGGGGTGTCCCGTCTTAACGTAGTCAATGTAAGCCATTCCAAAGGATTAAGGTGTATAAAAACAAACAAACGTTATTATTATTATTTTACTATAATTCTCATCTCCCCTCTTAAGGAGAGGAGATGGCAACTAACCCCCGGCAGAAGCACAGTCGGCCGGGGTTCAGGGCCCCAGGGAGAGAAACCGGCGTACAATGCGGGCAGAATCTAAGAGCACCGCTTTCTGCATCTTTCCCGAGAGTGAGCCGCCTCGGAATCCCAACCGTCTGAGACGTTGTTCCAGACTGGTTGGGATTTTTTTGGTTATTATTTTTATTATTATAGCTTTTTATCCACTTCAGTGGTCCCCAAGGGTAAAAGCCTCCTCCATCTTTTTCCACTTCTCCTTATCTGTAGCAATATTTGTCCAATTTTTTTCTGCTGTCTTTATTATGTCATCAGTCCATTTTTTTTTTGCCTTCCAACATTTCTTTTTCCTGCTGGACCTTGCCATTTCGTTGTTGGGAAAGTCCACCTTTTATCTTTGTACCTCACTATATGACCTGCCCGTCTCCAATTCTGTTTCATACTATACTGAAGAGCATCTGTTTTTTTGGTTTTTTTCCTAATATCAGTGTTTCTTATTTTCTGTATTTTTCTTAAGTTTAAATTACTTCTTTCCGTGGCATGCTAACATGATAGGATTTTGTTCTTTATTTTTTCAGTATAGGTCCATGTTTGGCATGCATATGTCAGGCTTGGCAGGATGCAGGAATCCATAATTATCTTTTTTAAGTTGAGGCTGTAGTTGCCTTTAAGGATTTCTTTTTGAGCCCAGTATTTCTTCCATGTTTTGTATTTATTCTTCTATCAACTTCATTTTCTCCACTGTTTGTTTCGAAAGAGGCCAACTTACCTAGGTAACTGTCCACATCTAACAATATATAAACATTTATTAGTCACGTTTATATAAGTTTTCATAACTTTTTATTATACTTAATATACATAATCATAACTTACACCCCAATTAATTAGGAACCTAGGAATTTAAGTAGAAGTACTTTATATACATATATGATATGTTTCTTTCTCTCTTAAAAACATAATATTATTTAACAGGTTACGTTTATCCACTGCTTACTACCTTTAAAACTCTAATAAAAAATTACAAACTCTTTTTGGTGATATAATTTTTCAAGTCTATAATTATACAGGTACGAATCTCGTTTAATATTTTTTTGGCATATGAATTCTTTTGTTTTTGAGTGCGAATTGAGAGACTTATAAACGCTAACACTTTTTGAGAGTGTTTATGCATTAATATGAGGACTACGTAGGGATTTTCGATTCAATTAGTCAATTTTCAAAAACAACAATTTCTTTTTATTCCATTACATTCACGGAACATTCATGGTGTTTGCTCAAGTTGGTATGGTCCAATGTAGAGTTTTATAAAAAAAAGCCACCAAATAATTTTCAATATTACGTATACTTTGAAATAATCAATTGGAAATGTTGAAAATTGTTCGCTTATGAAAATTGATTAACAATAGCTATGTTGCTACATTTTTTATATATTTTCAAAAGCACTCAACTCCGACATAGTTTAAAAATATTGAAACATTTGTTCTCCACTAGAGGTCTCTAAAGTTCTTGATGTTAGAGAAAAAAATAAGGTATAACTAAAGTTATTAAATCAATATTTAGATTAATGGATCACAAAATACTCAGCTACCTCTACGTGGAAAATATATGTTAATTGATTTTATCCGTAAAAATCATTTTAAAGCACAATTCACATTGAGAAAGCGAACCTAAGTTTGTTTAGCTTAGCTCACTTAGTTTAGCTCATATCCAATTATATGAGCTAGACGTAGCTATGCAAACTAATATGACCTTACATTGAAAACTAGGGATATATAAAAGATATAGTGACGGGGCAAATGGAGACCACATAAAATAGATAGAACATAAAAAGAAAAATGATCTATAACAAATATCTTTGAATTTAGTATGGTTGCTAGGAAATCGTTGTATCTTTTAATTATTGCAAGATTGTCGTATGTAAATCAGTCCAAAATAAATTATTTATTTGTTTAACTTTTTATTGTATCAAAAATATAATAATATACAATGACAATGAGACAATTCAATTAAATTACAGTAATATAAAGTACAGATTAAAATATAGACATAAAAAAGTTTTATTGTACAATTAATAAATAAATAAAGATACAAAAGGCGGTCTTATCGTTATGGCAATCTCTTGCAGACAACCTTTGTTTAAAGGAGAACAGATAGAAGATCAAAATAAATAATATTGCTAATAGAAACATTTATCCATTTGTACTTCTCCTTTAGCTCTTCTCTTACTCCCGTGCAAAGAATTACACTAGAATTACATTGTGAGGTTTCCTAGCTCATATGGTTCAATCAATTCAGCACTGTAGATCACAGTGTAAACTTCAACATAAAAAGTGATCGTAACTACGTGAACTAAACTAAGTTAGGTTCGTTTAGTTTAGCATTCAGTGTGAACTGCGCTTAAGGCACATAATTGAATTGCAGATTTATCAAAAATACAATAGCATCACTCTTTAATAATGTACCCTAACCGTTTCATTTCAGTATCGAATTCTTGTGTTCTGTATTTTTTTATTTTGTTTAACCATGTTGAATAATTGCAATGCAATTTGCAAGTGCCACCGTATCTCTCTGGAAGACACTCGATAGGTATGTGTTGCTGAAGGGACTTCAAATCGTGTCCGTGAAAGTAGATGTTGTTGACAAAGTCTCGAGGTATGAACTTCTTGAAGAGATAGAAGAAGGAGTTCAACAACCAGGAGTAGTTGATGAAGTGGCAGGACTTGAGGCGCATTGGCGTGGCCAACTGTATATGGAGAAATCTTTGATTAGAGACTATACGGCTTTAAGATAAGGTACAAATTGTAACTACAATATTACTGTAAAATGAACATACAGATAGTTTTGATAAGTAGTGAAAAAATATATTATTTACTCTCTAATATAATAAAAATTTCAACTAAATGATGTCTTTATATGGGAAATAGTTAAGAAAAATTAATATAAGAGGTCTTAATAAGACCAAGATGTCAAAATATTTTTTTTAATGTTGATAGTCAGTCTGTCTGTCTGTTTATTTGTTTCAGTATGAAGCACTAACTATTGCACCAAATTAGATGTGGTTTTCCCTGATACTTACTCCTAATAAAGCGACAATTTGGTAAGCCACAGTGGGTGTCAACGTAGCCGCGTGCCGTAACGTGATCCCTTCCAAATCCACAATGAGGGTTCCACCTATTATTTGTAGCTTCGGCTGCCGCGAACCAATCTCAACCTGAGACGCCCCGGCTTTTACCAGATCTTCTATAGGATATTCATTCGGGTCCCACGTTCCTGAAAGGTTACGTTAATCCGTACTAATATAATAAATGTAAAAGTGGGGGGAAAGGGATTGTTAGTAATGGATTCTAACAGGCCATTGCTAGCAGTATACCCTATCAGGTCGAACTCCACGCGGTTACCCCTGGAAACCATCGTGGTTAATTCTTGTCGACTTCTTCACGATGGGCCGACTGATCTACCGTCATCCTTATGTACCATATATCGTTGGCTTAGATTATCAGATATTAAAAAAAAATTTGAAAGTGAGTTTGTTTGTTACTTTATAGCGACTTAACGACATGACCAATTACTATGAAAAAAAAAAACAGGCAAGAAAAATCTAAAAAATACATTGTAGACTTCTAAACGATACAAATTTTGGTTAATTTGGAAAAGTTTTCTAAGTTTTGTTTTACCGGACTGTAAATAACTGGTCGTAATTTTGAATATATGTTAGAGTGATATACCAAAATCCATTTGCCCATTTTAATGAAGGGTTATATAATCTGTATACTGGGTTGCCCGTTGGCATCATAGACTATACTGTGACGTCCATGACACAAATCGTGCGTTATTATTCTTGAGGACGTACGCTTCTCATTATCATCATATCAGCCATACATTGTCCACTGCTGAACATAGGGCTTCGTTTTGGAGGGTTTAGCCAGTAGTTGCCACGCTTGGCAGGCGAATTGGCAACCACAGTTAGGCTTTGGAGATGCTTTAAGTGGGACGCTGCTGCCCATCCCTTGCCCTCCCTTAATCGCCTCTTACGACACCCACGGGAAATGAAGGGGTGGCCGATTCTATGCCGGGACCATACAGTATATGCTTCCCTAGCCAGTAATTTACTATCAAAATTACAGTTTCATAAACTGAAACATAATCATTTAAGTACATTACTTAGTGGCAGAAACACGAGTGGGACAGGAATACCCAAAGAAACAATTTTTAAACTAAGTCTTGAGTTTTCTTATGACACGGATCCGTGTCCAACAGTGGGACTTTATTGATTTATGTAATGAGTTCCAAATTTGTGTATAATGTCTCGTACTTACCAAATCTGAATATAGAAATACGACCAATATCAGGTCGGTCGTATATTGTCCCTTCATAAGCGTCCCTCACCTTCTCCAAGGACCAGAGGTCCACATCCTGCCACAAATAGGGGTACTGTTCCCTCAATGTACAATACCGGACCAGCTACGGAAATATAGACACAAAAATTTATATAATTAATTTTACATAGAGAAAATTAACATAGGTTGTATCAGCCGTAAAATACCCCCCTTGCAGTGGACCAAGGGGGGTTTTCCAGTAGTTGCCACGTTTGGCAGACGGGTTGGCAACCGCAGTTTGGCTTTTACTCATGTTTTAAGAGGGACGCTACTGCCTATCCCTCCACCATAAGTTTATTTTTTTATTTTTTTAATACAACTTAGAATGGCAAACAAGCTGACGATCCACCTGATGGAAAGTGGTAACCGTCGCCTATAGACATGAGCAGTACCATGGACATAACAGAGTATACTGTTTCAACCATGATACCCCCCATGCGTTGCCATTCCTGAGGACTCAGGTGTTATTCCTCTGTACCCAATAAATTTACCATATCCCAACCTTCAAACCGAAACACAGCCATGCAAACACAGCTGCTTTACGGTTGAAACACGAATGGAACAAAGGTACCCAAGCAATCGACTTTTGTACAAAGTCTCCCTTAGTCGCTTCTAAGACACTCATAGGAAAAGAAAGGATGGTCTAATCTACGGCGAGAAATACATGACATTTTTTTTTATTTAATTTGACGATTATTAACTAAAAGTATTGCAATAACTATTTTAATTTTTAAGGTTAATTAACACTTGATAATTTTATTTATACAGCGCCACCTATAGTTAACAAATGTATTATTCACGTTGAGTGTACTGTTATAGTGCCAGAGTGTAGCACTAGATGGCATTGTAAATATAAAATAAGTGATATGTTAAAAGAGCGAAATGATAACTCGCATATGAATTACAACAGGTATATAATATCCAATACAATATTTGGGACAATACTTATTTGGGATAAAAGGACGGAAAATTAGATCAGTAACATCTCATCAGTAGAGTGTCTCTTTACAAATGTTTAAACAAAAAAATCTATTTTGTTTTTAAACGACGTGTTTTTAAAAATCTTGTAATTGGTGACATTTATCATAGAAAAAAAGCCATCCATTTGTTTATTTATATTTATTATATTATTATTAAAACCACAACTTTGGATAAAGTCGTCGGCTTGGGTACATCTGTCCCATTCATGTTTAAGGAGTCGGATACAGCAATGATGTTTTCAGTTTAAAGGATAAGATATGGCTGTGAAATTATAAGGTACAGAGGCTAATACCATAGTCCTCAGGAATGGGAAAAGGTGTGGTCCATTCTATGCCAGGACCACGCGATAAATAATAATACTTTTTAATATATTTACCAGCCTATGCGCTTTTGGTACGATGTAATTTCTCGACCGAAGAAACTTCAGCAGGAATTTGTCGTCGCTTCTGAAGGGGGTACACTCGCCGCGGTCTGAAATGTAATCAGCGATGTCGGTTATAAAAATATTTTATTCTAGCATTTGATTTGCCTTGAAAATGTTACTTTGTGCTATAAGGCCTTGTTCCAATTACACATGTCTAAGAGTGCTCGTATTTGTTTTAATGTATTTATTTTCTTATTGCATTCCATAATATAATTAGTATTATTTATCAAATTTCATACAAATTATGAACATTTATAATCATATTTATGCACAATTGAAAATTTCAGAACGGGCATGGTTCTAATTTGCAATTTAACTGTCCACTGCTGGACATAGGCCAAAGACTATTAAAAAATGTTACAGTCTTTGAATATGGAACCTCCTTCATAGCCGTGACATTTTAAAAGTATTAGATAATAAAGTCTAATTAAAGTATATATATATATATATATATATATATATATATATATATATATATATATATATATATATATATATGTATATATATATATATATCTCTTTATAGCCTTGACATTTTAAAATTTATAAATAGATAATCTCTGAAAGATCTCTTCCAATAAAAAAATAATATAAACATGCTTTGATATTATATATACTATTATATATATATATATATATATATATATATATATATATATATATATATATATATATATATATATATACTGCAAAACATATCGTAATATAATAGTCGTTTTGTATAAATTATAATTGTACGCATGTTTTTACCTGTTAACGTTACGTCACACGGCCAACAAGTCCTTTGCAGCGCGGAAGAAACCACAAAATTTGTTAGCAAAACAAAATAGTTATAAATCACACAAGGTTTAGGAGACCTCGGTATTCGTAAGGCGTACATAGATTATAAGTATTACGAGGAAAATAATAATTTTATTAAAAAAAAACTAACTTTTAGCGACGACTTTGTGTGCGTGTGTGTGTGTGTGTGTGTGGGTATTAAATATATGACACATGCGAAAACCGCGTTATGAGTAGCTCAAATTGTATACATTTCGTCACAGTAAAGCAGTTTTTATGTAAAACGCCACTGACAAATCGACAAAAACGTGAATTGAGAAAAAAAAAACACCATCGTTTACAGCTCAGTATCGCGTGCAGGTGAATGAACTGAATTTCTAAAAATATCTATTGCACAGTTTAAATTTAGCGTTGAGTTATTATATAATAGAGAATGTATTTTTATACGTTCTGCGGTTATTATACTTACAGTTTTGGCATCATAATTATTTTATTACGTAAAAACATAAAGAACAGTAACTTGTCTGCTTTCTCTTTGTTCTTTTATTTAATTTATAAACTGTTTTTGTTTTTATATATTAGATTTTTTTTTGATGGGTGAAAATGGAATAGTAACCCCGCCTGCGCTAACGGGATACGCTGGCGGAGCACCAGTGAAGGGTGATAGATGAGAATGAAAACAGGCCAGTTAGCCCATCATGATGAATTCATCAGGAATTAACCATGATAGTTTCCAGGGGGAACCGCGAGGAGGTCGACCTGGTTGGGTATATTGCTAGCAATGGGATTCTCAGTCTCCACTACTAACAATCCCTTTCCCCCCTTATATTTGATATTAGGAATGGATAATATATAGCAATATCAATATCTTTTTTTTTTTATTTTATTTGTCCTTATATGTTTCTTTAGACATGAGCAGTACCATGGACATAACAGAGTATACTGTGATCGCCCGTGATACCCCCCATGCGTTACCATTGCTGAGGACAGGTACTATTCCTCTATACCCTGTAAATTCACTGCCATATCCCACCCTTCAAACCGAAACACAGCCATGCAAACACGACTGCTCCACGGTAGAAACACGAATGGGTAGAGGTGCCTAAGCAAACGACTTTTGTACAAAGTCACCCTCTGGTAACTCAGATGTATAATCTGGGATGAAGGACTTAGGGTACTTTTTATCCTGGTTAAGGAACATATCCCGACCTTATTTTATTAATATTATATATGCGAAAGTTTATTCCCAAAGAGGGTTGACGTCAGGCAGGTGGCCGGTCGTAAAACTAAAAACTATGGATAAAATCATATTACGCCGACCCCAAGTGATTGGGATAAGGCTAGAAAGATGATGATATATATGCGAAAGTTTGTAATGTTGGATGGAGGGAAAGGTACTTTTTTTATACTACGAGCACTAAGGTGGCAAACAAGCATATGATCCGCCTGATGGTAAGCGGTTACCGTAGCGGTAACACTGAAACCGACCAACTAATTGAGCACGTCCAAATGGCTACAGATTCCCTGCTTGAGCAGATTCCTTCCGCTGAAGTCGTGATTGTTGGCGACTTTAATGCCCACCATGCCGAATGGCTTGGTTCGCGTACAACCGACTATGCGGGAAGATCTGTTCATGACTTTGCTTTGGCTTATGGTCTGACACAGCTTGTTTCCTCGCCTACGCGAATCCCTGATGTGTTGGACCATTCACCTTCACTGCTGGACCTTCTGCTGACCACCCACCCAGACAACTATGTGATCTCCGTCGAAGCCCCGCTTGGATCGTCGGATCACTGTTTGGTGCGGAGCGAAGTGCCTCTTACGAGTCCGACTCCACCTCGTTCTACGGGTAGACGTCGCATTTGGCACTACAGGTCGGCAGATTGGGATGAGATGCGGATTTTTTTCGCATCTTACCCATGGGGGCGGGTTTGCTTCACACTGGATGATCCCGACGCCATTGCCGATTCCATTGCTGATGTGGTGCTTCAGGGAATGGAATTATTTATTCCTAACTCTGTGGTGCCCGTCGGCGGGAAATCCCAGCCCTGGTATGGAGCCTCCTGTAGAACAGCATCTCGTCTGAAACAGGAGTGCTTCCTAACCTGGGCTAAAGGTGTGGCGTCGCGAGATCCTAACACCAGTGCTCTTAAAAAGAAGTATAACTCTGCCTCTAGGTCCTTCAAAAGAGTTATAGCCACAGCGAAGTCAGAGCATATTAGTAGAATTGGCAAGAGATTGGCTAGTTTGCCCTCTGGGACTCGAGCTTTCTGGTCTCTTGCCAAAGCTGCACAAGGGAATTTCTGTAAGTCATCTTTTCCACCTTTGCGCAGGGAGGATGACTCATTGGCCCAGAACGCTAAAGAAAAGGCCGATCTTCTTGGATCCATCTTTGCGTCAAACTCGACATTGGATGACGGGGAGAAACCACCACCGACCATCACGTGTTGTAGGAGCTCTATGCCTGACATTAAATTCACGCATAGCTCAGTGCGTAGAGCACTTTTCTCCCTCGAAATCCATAAGTCGAGTGGGCCTGATGGTATTCCTCCAATTGTGCTTAGGACGTGCGCACCAGAGTTGGCTCCGGTTCTTACGCGTCTTTTTCGGCTTAGCTACTCATCGGGCATAGTCCCAAAGTTTTGGAAGACTGCTCTGGTGCATCCGATCCCTAAAAAGGGAGATCGCTCAGATCCAGCTAACTATAGGCCCATAGCTATCACTTCCTTATTCTCGAAGGTTATGGAATCCATCATTAACCGTCAACTGCTCCGGTACCTAGAAGAGCACCGGCTGATCTGTGATCGCCAGTACGGCTTTCGACAGGGACGTTCGGCCGGTGATCTTTTAGCTTACTTAACACACCGATGGGCAGTGGCAATCGAGAGTAAGGGAGAGGCCTTAGCAGTTAGTCTGGATATTGCGAAGGCCTTTGATCGGGTGTGGCATAGAGCGCTGCTTTCAAAGCTACCTTCATTTGGGTTGCCTGCGAGACTGTGCATTTGGGTCGCCAGTTTTCTCAAGGAACGTAGCATTAAGGTCGTAGTCGACGGTGCATGCTCTGATTTAAAACCTTTGAATGCTGGTGTCCCGCAAGGCTGTGTACTATCTCCGACTCTGTTTCTTCTGCATATCAATGATATGTTACAGATAAGTAATATTCATTGCTATGCGGACGACAGTACAGGAGATACATTATATACCGGTCATGCAAAGATCTCGCGGGCACATACCGATGAGTGCCGGAATAGACTTGTGTCTGAAATCGAAACTTCACTCCATCAAGTTTCGATCTGGGGTGAACAAAATCTTGTCCAATTTAACCCCAAAAAGACACAAGTCTGCGCGTTTACCGCAAAAAAGACGCCGTTTGTCGTATCTCCTCACTTTCAGGGCACTTCCCTTGATAAAAAGTCAAGTCTAGGAATTCTGGGCGTTGATATATCTTGCGACGTCCAGTTTTGCGGTCATCTGGAGGAGAAGGCTAAGATAGCTTCTAAAAAGTTAGGAGTGCTCAATAGGGTGAGACGATATTTCATGCCAGAACACCGCCTGAAATTATATAAAGCCCAAGTCAGGCCGCATATGGAATACTGTTCTCACCTGTGGGCAGGAGCGCCACAGTACCAACTCCTTCCGTTAGACCGCATTCAAAGTCGGGCGGCTCGAATTATCGATAGTCAACGCCTTACTGTCCGACTTGACCCATTGAAACTGCGCAGAGATGTTGCATCTCTGTGCATCTTCTACCGAATTTATCATGGGGAGTGTTCTGAGGAATTGTTCGGATTGATACCTGCTGCTGATTTTCACCACCGTACAACCCGCCACAAACTAAAGTTTCATCCCAATCATCTGGACGAGTGGCGGTCTTCCACCGTGCGTTTTTCAAGGCACTTTCTTCCACGCACAACCATTCTTTGGAATCAACTTCCAGCAGCAGTATTTCCGAACCGATACGACAACATAACCTTCAAGAAAAGAGTATATTCCTTTTTAAAAGGCCGGCAGCACACCTGCAATGCCGCTGGTGTTGTGGGTGATCATGGGCGGCGGTAGTCACTTACCATCAGGTGAGCCGCATGCTCGTTTGCCCCCTGTGTTGTAAAAAAAAAAAAAAAAAAAAAGCCTATAAACGCCTGCAGTATTAGGGGCATTACGCGCGCATTACTGACCCTGAAGAAATCTCTTTACCCCTGTGAGGAACTCCATGCTGTAATCTCTTGAAAAACCTCAACAGGGAGCTCATTCCATAACCTGAGTGTTT